GGGTAATCCAGAATCCAGGCATATTTAAAAAAAAAAAAGATTCATTTATTTGAGAGGCAGAGTTAGAGAGAGAGAGAGAGAGAGAGGTCTTCCATCCACTGGTTCATTCCCCAAATGGTGCAACGGCTGGCACTGGGTCGATCTGAAGCCAGGAGCCGGGAGCTTCTTTTGGGTCTCCCATCTTCTAATGATTTCTCAGGCCACAGCAGAGAACTGAATCGGAAGTGGAGCAGCTTAGACTTGAACTGGTGTCCATATGGGATACCTGCACTACAGGCAATGGCTTTATCTGCTATGCCACAGCGCTGGCCCCTGGGCATATAATGTTAAAGATTCAATATCAAAAGTAATTTTTTTGAATGACTTCCTCTTGGGAAACTAAATGTGACCTTTATTTCAATAATAATTGCATTGCTGAAAATGTTGGTATATATGGAAATCACCAAAAAGAATTTGGGTTCATATGTAACATGAAGTAGCATTTAGGTTCCAACAGAAAAGGAAATGGGCAAGATGAGGATGGACTGAATACGGGCCCACATAAGCCTGAAGGCCACGGGGCAACAGAGTGAATGGGGAAACATTTGCAAAATGGATCTTCAGAGAGCTTTCTGGCTACACAGCCGCCTATTTGCACGTTTTTTTCCTAAGTTATTAAATAGGTAGTATAAATGCCCCATTTCCCCTGATTAGTGTGTTGTGATAATATTAACACGACCACGTGCCATTTGCAAGAGTTGTAGCAATAGGATTCCATTTCTGTGTTGATTCCACAAAGCCGCTTTGATGTTTCCTTCACTTCTTAACACTGGATTCTATCTCATTTGCATTTGTCATTAGAGAGCTGCTTCGAAGGATTTCTGTCCCTCTCAGCAAAGAGTATCACTGAAATGGAAGGCCTGGGATATAACTCAAATCATCCTAATCAGATCTTTCAGCCCTTGATCTAATCACCAAGCTGTTTTTTGCCTAGCTTCTTGGTGAAGTTCATTCATTAACTCAGAAAGCATTTACTGAATATATGCTGTGTCTATCCGTGGGCTATGGTGTAATAAGATTAGTCTATGAATTGAGCCCTGTCCTTTAGGAGTTTATAGTCTTATTGAATGAAGTAAGCCACATAATAGAATGCTATTTAAAATGTATGATGGCTTTTATACTTTAAATATGTTAGAAGTCGTTCATGTCAGCTAATCGACCTTAACTCTGACTTTGTGCCCTTGAAACTAAATTATAGAATATTTTCTGTTTGTATCTATTTCACAGCTAGCATCACAGTTCTTTTCCAAGATGTTTTTGTGATCCTGGTCGTTCCCTACCAAGTGTTGTTGTGGGAATAGTAGAAACAGTCATTGACATTTCACAGTTTTGCTGACTGTGAGCTTGGGAGGATTCTGAATAGGAGGAAAGAATAAATTGAAGTGCCAGTGATTTTTTTTTTTTAATTGGAGCAAATTGCTGCATAAAACTACTCCCCCCTCCCAAGTCCTCTTCAGCCACACACCAAGTTCTACCAGTCTCTCTCTTTCTTTCAAAACATTTATTTTATTTGAAAATCATAGTTGCAGATAGAGGGAGAGACACAGCATCAAAGAGATCTTCTCTGCACTGATTTACTCCCCAGATGGTCACAATGGCCAGCGCTGGGCCTGGCTAAAGCCAAGATCCAGGAGCTTCTTCCAGGGTAGCAGAGGTCCAAGCACTTGGGCCATCTTTTGTTACCTTCCCAGGCCAATAGCAGAGAGCTGGATCCGAAGTGGAGCAGCCAGGACTCGAACTGGTGCCTATATGGGATGCCAACATCACAGGCTGAGTGAGAGTACCTGCCATACCATGATGTTTGGCCTCTCTGACAGACTCTTAAATGTCATCTTCCACAACCAAAATGACTTCAAATAGAAAAATAACTTACACTAATTTTATTTGAGGTCTGAGATATAACTAAATTACTTTCTTACTTTGGCAGAAGATGTCTGTCCATGTATGGTTTATTGGAAAAGGGGATTTTCTTGCATACGGAGAACAGTGAAAAGCTGTAACCAGAAATTACTTCCCTTCTCTGTACAGCACCTAATATTTGTTTCCTGTTCCTTTTCTTATACATATATGAGGAGCCATCAAAAAGTTCATGAAAATGCATATTATAAAAAATATATGCATGGACTTCAAAATTTTTAAAACCAAAATAGATCTCTCTTTTCATTTCATTTTCCTACATGTTGGGAGTACCTCCATATTGTTTTTTTTTTTTTTTTTTGTGATTCCCGATTACAGTTACAAACTTGCAGCCATTTAAATGTTTCTTACTTAAGTCCCTACCTTAATGAATGCTAAGTGTAGTCAGTCTTTAATTCGCACTCACAATGAAGAATAAGTGATCAGCGAAAACCCTTACTTGTTTCTGTCCACAAACTAGCAAAGTGTGTGACTCGACTGTGATTTCATCCAGGGTTAAATATTTGCATGTCTTTTATAGCTACATTGCTCTCCTAGACATCCCTTGCATCCTAATCTGATTATTTGAGCCATTTGCCCCATGGAATTGGTGGTCAGAGTCTACAAGCTGTGATAGTTGAACTCATTTGTCCCATAGTTTGAACTGCTGCCTGATACTAGACCTTTGTTTATTTCTTCTCTTCTTCTAATCCCAATTCTCTGGGACAGTTCATGAAAAGATGAAAGATTTGTGGTTCTTTTTTTTTTTTTTTTTTTTTTTTTTTTTTTGTTCACCAGAGATTTAGGTATTCTGTAGCTGTTCTGAATCTTTGTGCTTAGGCACTGTTTGGTATTTTTGTAGAACGTTTAAATTTAGCTTGGGGTGACTGTTATGAAATCCAAGGTGGGAGCTGTAGAGTCTGGCTCCACAGAGATCTAGTTTTCTTATGGTGAAAACGATTGCTTGGGGTCACCATACAAAGCCCTTCCAAGCCCAAGAAAATCCTAATGAGAAATGCTAAATTTCCTCAACTTAGATGGAAACCCATGGAAGAATCTTACACTATTCTCACTGCTCAAGAATATGGAATACAATTTGGGGGAGGGGCCAAAATGGATGTTAATAATTTGCCTTGATGAAAGTGAGGAAAGAGAATATTGTGTCATCAGACTGGCTTCATTAAAGGCCTCCATACTTGTGATGACTGTCTGGGGAATTATATAAAACAAGTACATTCCTGCTGCCCAGTGGGAGCTTTTGAAAGTAGGCTACTGGCAAGTTTGATGTGATCTTGTCCAACTACTGAAGACCTATCTACTGTTTATGGGACTTCCTGGGTAGGGATAGAAGGGACCGAAACAGGGAAAAAAGAAGGCTGGGCACCTACTGAGTTCTCTGACTGCTTGATGATTGATTCATGCTTGTACAATTCTGGATTTTTTACTGGATTATAATTCTGTCTTTCCCCAGGTTTTGGGGGCTACTGTGTATCTCGCCCAACATTATAAATTCCATTTCTGGATGGAGTTTGCAGAGGCTGATGAACAGGACACAGAGCATCTGCCCTTTTGGGTTCAATGAGGTTTTAATTTCTGCTTTTATACAATTCGCTGCCCAGGGCAAGTGACTTTTTCTTCAGTGGCGCAATTGTGATGCGATTCACCATAGATCTTGCTAGATTCACTGTTGGTGACTTCATTCCTCTGCACGGAGAAATGGGTGAAACAGTCTGAGGATCCAGGCCTCCTGAGGGCTCTGATATGTCTGAAGGCCCAGTCTCAGAGATGGCAAATTCTTACTGCAGTGTTCAGGTCACATGAGGCAACTTGTAGAGACCCAGTTGGAAGTCCAATCAATAATAAAATCTCTGGTGTTTTCTCAGAGCTCCCCTTTAATGGACATTGGTAGGTTATTGTCTTACACCTGTCCAAGCATATTTGCTCCCAAAGAGCCAAATGTGAAGACTTTAGCACTTTGGGAGCTATGTGAGTGCAGATTCCTGTGTCTCTGCCTTCCAATGGCTCAGAACTCAGAGTTGGAGCATCACAAGACCCACCTGATTCTAATTCAGGTGCTTCTCAGACCACACTTAGATGCTACTAGAGAGGGAAAGCCCCCCTCCCTTCCTGGGAGCCACAGGTAACCTACAAATCAGCACTCATGATTAAGCTTGAGACCCTTGTCTGACATTTTTGATGGCTGCTCAGAAATTGAAATTCTGTTATTCCTGACAGTATCCCACATCTCCCTAGGTGATCCCAGCATTCTTCCTTTTTCATGCTGCTCGTATTCTCACCACGATGCTCTTGCCTATCCCTTCCTTTTACATAACAGCAATACTATTTGCTTTGCAAAAAAAAAATCTCTTAATTCTTATCTTTGCAGACAAGGTCAGGCATGGTTTTCTCATCCTCTCCTATTCCATTCCCCTCTTTCTGACTTGAATTCTGTTCAGTCTCACCTGACAAACCTATGATCTGACAGGTGTGTTTGGCTTTTTTTTTTTTTTTAATGTAGGCCTTGGTCTTTTCACATGAACAATTTCTTAGCAGGTGCACACCAGTCTTCTCCCATTTAGAACCCCAAGCTCAGGTAGACAGTCCTTTGCTAGGGTACAGGATGTTCTCCAGAGGAGAAAGGGGTGAGAGTGAGCTTTGAGCTCTAACCATTCAGAGCATGCCTTGCTGGGAAATGAAGGGGTTTCCATAAGAGACCTCATGAACCTCATTTTCTTGCCCCCCACTTTGGTCTCTGGCTACTTGAAAATTATCCAAATATTCCTAAAGTCCAAACCCTAGTCTTTTTCCACAAATGTAAAGACCTCCGTGCCTTCCCTCTACCCCAAACAGGGGCTTGCATTTTAATTTCTGGTCCTGACTGATATTTTCCTGATTTCCCTGTCTTTGGGACCTGCCACCCTCTTCCTTTAGAGCAGTATATCCCAATACATTAGTAAAATTTCTAGACATGGAAGGCTGACTCAGGCATTGTTTGTACTCCACAGGAAATTTTGAGCTCTGAACAGATTCTGATGTTTTTCTTTGTGTTTTTCTTCTTGCTGCAGGAAAGCAATCTCCCGGGCAGGACTCCAGCACCTGGCTCCTGCACATCCCCTCAGCCTTCCTGTGGCAAATGGTCCAGCAAAGGAGCCCAGAGCGACTCTGGACTGGAGCGTAGGTGTCAGCTTTTTCATTTCTATGTCGTATCAGTTGCGTGTTTTGCTTCTCTCATTCTCAGGATCCCTATAGCTATAAGCGAGACTTACTTGGTTATTTTCAATATTGATCTTGAGTCAGTCTTCAGATAGCTAAGCTTTGGCTCCTCCGTTTTCAGGCTCCCAGGAAGACCATAGCTCCTTTAATATGAAGTCAGATGTGTTCAAGCCTAAAATAAAAACTTCATGAATCATTTGCAACACTGTTGCCTGGCTTTGCAGCTGTGAGATAAAAAGTCCCTTGCACACATGCTTTGTTGGTTTCTGCCAAGTTGGCGATGAGTAGAGAGTGTTGCTTATCTTTGACAACATTATGGAATCTAAGTTTGATTTCCTCAGCTCAAACTGCCATATTTTTTTTTTTTTTTTGACAGAGGATGACCTCACTTTGCCTTTCTGGCATTTCATGTCCCATTGGTTATACTTCTCCCTCCCAGCCAAAGACATATGGGACTTGCATCAGTGAGTTGAGTACATCAGCTGGTATTAACACTGTAACCAAAATACACTAATGAAACTATTAACTTTGTGTAAAGACTGCAGTCTGAAATTCTTAAGTCAGTTAGAACACATTTGTTGAGCATCTTCAAGGAATGAAGTTCATGGTCAAAGATATCCCTAACTGTGCACTGACTGGCTTGGTCCCCTCCTGAAGCAACCACAGCAGACGATGGCTGCTTTGAATTGCTGACAGCCTGTTCTGGCGATGAGCCTTGTCTAGCATTTCTAGTTAGCTTTGAGCAGAGTGGATAAACCACATTCTTTTCCCTGCATAGGGAAGAGAATGACAAGGTGGGGTGAGAAGAGGAATACTTTGATTTGTTTTGCTTTTAACGCATATGGCAGGATTTAATGTCCTTTTGTTGTAACATTGTTTCCTCTCCTCCCAGCACACACTTATTAACATTCTTATTTTACATTCTGGGCACACCCATGTAAATGCTGCCTGCATTTGTGAAGCCTGGCACAGACTGGATGTAATTTAAATGCAGCATCGTCCCTGATGGAGGTATGATTACTCTGAGCACGATCAGGTATCACCTGAGCACGCTGAATTGGTGTTCAGGAAGAATATTACCTTCTCAGAGTTTCACTTTGTTCCAGGAAAGTACTGAATGAACTCTCCACTTATCATATAGAGCATATTTATACTGTGTGCACTGTTAAATCAAATGTGTGGAGAAACGTGTAAGCTGAATTGAAGAGGAACAGGCATGGACCAATGATGACAGCATGTTATGAATGTAGGACCCTCAAAAGTTAGTTTAATATTTATAATGTTCCAAGTAATCCTGTTGTCCCCTGCAGTAGGACTCTATTGGAGATGAGAGTCTAATGAGGGATAGTTCAGTAAATTCTGTCTCTGCGTCCCAATCTGTAGAGGGAATAATTGTGGCACTACCTCAAGGGGACTTCACAAATGTTGTTAGGGTTAACTGTGATAGTAAGTGGCAAACTTCTTTATAAACTGTGCAGCTTGCATACGCATTTATTCAGAAAATAAAGTAGTTGGTGAACTCATTAATCTGTTCAACATGTGTTGAGTCCCTGCTTTGTGCTGGGACTGTGTTGGTTCCTGGGGATTCTGGATTACAGGAGCTTAGACTCCAGTGGGTAGAGAAGAAGTCAACAGTGAGAATATGGGCTGGCAACGCCTGGAATAAGAGGTTATAGAGGGCGTCCCCCGAGGGTGAGGAAGGACGCTCCATCCCCTTTTGATGCTGGAAATAGTTACCAGAAAGTGCTCTGAACAGGAAACGTCCTGCTTTAGCCAGTGCTTGGCTAGAAGGTGTTATTTCTGCTTCCTGTAGAGAGGTCTGTACTCTAATATTTCATCAAAATGGTATTTTTGGCTAGAGGTGGGAGGCTGTGATACCAAAGCAGGGAAAGAACAAATAGGACCCGAGGCTGGCTTTGTGCCTCAGGGGCTTGCATTCTTCCCTCCTGGCCCTCCTCTTTGACTGTGGGCACCCTGACATGGCAGTCTGTTGAAGCCACAGCACGGCAGGACATGCTTTGTAATGAACAATGCGGGAAACCGGGAAAGCTTTTTCTGAGGACACTCTGAAGGAGGGCTTATGTAGAGTTCTGAGGCAATAAAGAGTTCTGAGCTGTGACTCTGAAAAACAAAACAGTGTGGGCTAATAGTGATGTTAGCAAACAGAGGCCCAGCCACGACCAATCCTCTACTCTAGGACAATCGTGTGAAAACACTGGTTTGAGAGGAGGGGAAGAAGCAGGTGGCTAAAAACACTTTTGCAACTTTTTGTGTTGCTAATACTTTAGATTACTTGCTCCTGCCTGAAAGTTTTTAGCTCTTCCTAACCAAGTGCTTTTTAATAATTTCATTGCCATCACTTTAGTTTGCTCTTCTGTTCCAGGGGTCAAACCAGGAATATGTTTCTTCTTCTGGAGGTGTGGAGTCCCCGGCTTGACCTCTCTCTGCCTTCCCTTCCCCCCACTCCCTATTGGAATGGTGTGCAAATCCAGGGTGATGATGAATCTCTCACCATCAGTCCACACTTTGGGACTAAATAAACTAAAATTAATTCCTCTTTACTGTGGTATTCCTGTTTGTTGAACACTGCTTAGGCTTGGAGCCTCTTAAGAATCTCTTAAATAAGGAAGAGGGTGGTAGGAATTTTAAAAAAAGAAAAAAAAGAGGAATGCTAACTCCTTGCCTTTGGTGGTGCTACGCAGTGCTTCTGCAGGGGTGGCCCAGGGATGGAACAGGCCCGAGGGTCCCTGGTGCCCCTCATTGTCCCACCCTTGAACAGTGGCCGGAGTTCTTTTTCTGTATAACACTTTGGCTCAGGAGGATGGAGGGCATCTCTGTGGCCTTCTGGCTTACGCCATCTTGACTCCTCTCACTTAAGCTTATGAGAAAACATACAAAAGCTGTACGTGGTGTGCTTGAAGTTGAAAGGCAAGTCAGAGTGAACCTGGAATTAAAATTGTGGTCTTCAGCCGGCGCCGCGGCTCACTAGGCTAATCCTCCGCCTGCAGCGCCAGTACCCCAGGTTCTGGTCCCGGTCGGGGCACCAGATTCTGTCCTGGTTGCTCCTCTTCCAGTCCAGCTCTCTGCTGTGGCCCGGGAAGGCAGTGGAGGATGGCCCAAGTGCTTGGGCCCTGCACCCCATGGGAAACCAGGAGAAGTACCTGGCTCCTGGCTTCGGATCAGCATAGCACGCCGGCCGTAGTGGCCATTTGGGGGGTGAACCAATGGAAGAAAGACCTTTCTCTCTGTCTCTCTCTCTCACTAACTCTGCCTGTCAAAAAAAAAAAAAAATCATAGTCTTCAAGTTTCTAATTATTGTGGAATCCCAGATGCGTCCTATTCTGGTTCTTGCATATGTGCTAAAATCATCTGAAGGGACACAGTTACTTTCTAAATATCTTTTTGCAAAGGGCTTTGAGGAGGGGTCTGCTTATAGTGTGTCTGAAACACAAGTGAATGCGGATTCAATGACTCTAGACTTCAGATACCTGCAGATCTTTGTCGGAGTCAGTTTTTATGCTCTGTACATAAACTTTGCTTTCCTTCAGGTGTTCCATTTTTACACTCTCATTTCCCTGTTGGGTGACAATGCTGTCTCTTTAGCTCCTTCCTCAAACTCCAAAATCATCTCTCCTTTTGGAGTTTACTTGAATGGTTGGTTCAGACCGTTAGAATCCCCTGCTCCTTGTGCACGGCCTCACTTCCCAGATGATTCTTTGCCAAGATTTACTCTCACTGCCTGTGCATAGGTCTTTCGCTCCATGCATGCCAGGGTAGGCTCCTCCATGTTGGTGTCTCCTCCATAGACAGTGTCTTAATCAGTTCTCAGGGTGGTACCCACGCTTCTATTGACATCAGTGGACACTGGGCTCAACCCAGGGTGGATATTGCTATTTCTATAGAGACTTTTCTCTCTTGCTCTCTGGCATGGCACGTGCAACTTTTCATTCTACCCTGTTTGGTTTATTTGAAAAGCAGAGTGACAGTGGGTGGAGGAGGTTGATTGATTGATCTTCTATCTACTAGTTCACTCCTCAGATGGCCATAGCAGCCAGGCTGAGTCAGGCTGAGGCCAGGAGCCAGGAACTTTATCCAAGTCTCCAACATGGATGGCAGGAACTCAAATAATTGAGCCATCATCAGCTGTTTCCCAGGCACATTAGCAGGGAGCTGGATTGGAAGCAGAGTAGCCAGGACTCAAACCACCTCTCCAATAATGGGGATGCAGGAGCCCCAAGCTGCCCCTTAACTCACTAGGCCATATGTTGGCCCCTCACTCCTTGCATTGATTTCCCACAGTGTTATTATCCATGCTGCGTGGCCTAACAAACCTCATAAATAAATCTGGGTATTTTGTTTGACTTTCTTATTCCAGACCCTCAGATTTCAGGCTCCTTGAAGAGACAGGTGATGTCTTCTACTTATTCTCTCTTCACAGTGGAGAGCACAGAATCACAGGCCTGGTAGCTGCCTGATACTGATGCCAGGGGATGAATTGATTACTCCTTTTCTGCTCAATCAGACAGAAGGGGACATGTCACTGGGAGTTGACAGGCACTCAGATAATCTCCCGTTCTTGAAAGGCTCGGTAGGCATGACTCCAAAACCTACTTGAAAAATAAATGGATTCGAGCTATTTTAATCTCAAAGAACACTTTATAAATTTCCTTCCTAATAAAACACATTGTGTTAGATCTTAAAGCACACATGGTTGTTTGATCCTCCCACTCTTCCCAATAGCGTCCTCTCGTCACCTTCACAGTGACAGCCGGCAAGGGCTGCTCCTTCCAGCTAAGCCAACTCGGGGGAGATAAGCTAAATTACTAGACATGAAGGAAGTAATGCCCCAAAAGGTAAAACATCCTCATTGCCTGGGCTGTCACCCGAGTTCCTGGCTTGGAGTGAGTTAGCCCATTTGGAAGTGTGTCTGCTCACAGATGATGTATGTCACATTCATCCTC